CAAAGTGTTCCTATCCTCATGTCTAAGGAGCATTCTGGCTACACTTCTTCCAAGACAAATTTGTTTGTTCTTCTGGAAGTCCTTGGTACTTTTAACATTCTTCTCTAACACCATAATACAAATGCATCGATTCTTCTTCAGTCTTCTTTATTCATTGTCCAGTTTTCACATGCACATGAGGCTACTGAAAACACCTTGACTTAGGTCAGGCACACCTTCTTGTTGTTATTGTTAGGTGCCACTGAATTATTGACTCATAGCAAGCTTATGCACAACAAAACAAACCACTGCCCGGTTCAGCGCCAACCTTACAATCGTTGCTACATTTGAGCCCATTACTGCTGCCACTGTGCCAATCCATCTCATTGAAGGTCTTCCTCTTTTTTTCCGACCCTCCATTTTACCAAACATGATATCCTTCTACAGTGACTAGTCCCTCCTGATAGTATGTCCAAATTATAAGAGATGAAATTTCACCATCCTGGCTTTCAAGGAGCATTCTGACTATACTTCTAACACAGATTTCTTTGTCCTTTTGGCAGTCCATGGTACTTTTAATGTTCTCCTCCAACACCATAACTCAGATGCATCAATTCTTCTACAGTCTTCTTTCTTCACTGTCCAACTTTTACATGCATATAAAGTTATTGGAAATACCATGGCTTGGATCAGGCCCTTCTTAGTCCTCAAACTGACATCTTCAGCACTTCAAAAAGGTCTTGTGAAGCAGGTTAGCCTGACTTGATACATTGTCTGATTTCTTGACTGCTGCTTCCATTGAGTGTTGATGGTTGATCTTAAGAAAACAAAGTCTTTGACAACTTCAATCTTTTCTCCATTTATATGTTGTTGTTGTTAAGTGCTGTCGAGTCAGTTCCGACCCATAGCGACCCTGGGTGTAAATTTACCCGAGGGTGTAAATCTTTACGGGAGTATAAAGCCTCATCTTTCTCCCGCAGAGCGGCTGGTAGTTTTGAACTGTTGACCTTAAGGTTCCCAGCCAGATTCGTAACCACTATGCTATCATGAATGTTGTTTATTGGTCCAGTTGTGAGGATTTTTGCTTTCTTTGCATTGAGGTGCAACCCATACCAAAGGCTGTGGTCTTTTTCATCATCAAGTATTTTAAGTCCTCTTTGCTTTCAGCAAGCAAGGTTGTATCATCTCCATATCCCAGGTTGTTAATGAGTCTTCCTGCAAACCTGATACCATACTTTTCTTCATATAATCCAGCTTCGGAAATGATTTGCTCAGCATAATAAGTATGACTAAGTATGGTGAAAGAATATAACCTTGGTTCATACTTTTCTTGATTTTAAATCATTTGGCATTCCCTTGTTCTGTTCAAACAATTGCTTCTTGGTCTATGTATAGGTTCCTCATGAGCACAATTAAGTGTTATGGAATATTCATTTGCTACAAGGTTGTCCATAGTTTGTCATGATCCACACAACTGAAAGCCTCTGCATAGTCAACAAAGCACAGGTATTCTCTGCTTTCAGCCAAGGTTCATCTGGCATCAGCAATGACACCCCTCGTTCCACGTCTCCATCTGAATCTGTCCTAAACCTCTGTCAGCTCCCTATCAGTGTACTGCTACAGTCATTTTTGAGTGATCTTTAGCAAAATTTTAATTGCATTAATTATATTGTCCAATGATTTCTGCATTCTGTTGTCATCTCTTCAGAATAGTCACAAATATGGATCCCTTCCAATCAGTCGGCATAAATGAATGAGTGCCTACAATGCTGTTTCAGTTTGCTGAAAGATTTCAATTTTCATTCCATCAATTTCCAGAGCTTTGTTCTTTGCCAATGCCTTCAATGCATCTTGGACTTCTTCTTTCAGTATCATTGTCTCTAAATCATTTGCAACCTCTTGAAATGGCTGAACATCGACCTTTTCTTTTGAGTATACTGATTTTGCATATTCCTTCCATCTTCTCTTGGTGCTTTCTGCATCATTCAATTATTTTGCCCATAAAATCATTTAATACTGAAAGTCGAGGCTTGAATTTTTTCTTCATTTCTTTCAGCTTCAGAAATGCTGAGCATGTTCTTCCCTTTTGGTTTTCTAACTCCAGGTCCTGGCACATTCATTATAATATTTAACCTTGTCTTCTCAAGCTGCCCTTTGAAATTTTTGATTCAGCTCTTTTACCTCCTCATTTCTTCCATTTGCTTTAGCATCTCTGCGCTGGAGAGCAAGTTTCAGAGTCTCTTCTAACATCTATTTTGGTCTTTACCTTCTTTCTTTTCTTCTTAATGACCTTTTGCTTTCTTCCTGTATGATGTTCTTGATGTCATCCCACAACTCTTCTGGTCTTCAGTCTTTAGTGTTTAATGCATCACATCTGTTCTTCAGATAATCTCTAAATTCAGTTGGGATGTATTCAAGGTCGTATTTCGACTCTCATGGACTTGTTTCCATTTTCTTCACCTTCAGCCTGAATTTGCATATGTGCATATGGTCTTGTTTTCTTCACCTTCAGCCTGAATTTGCATATGTGCATATGGTCTTGTTTTGTCTGAGGGTATGGAGCTTTTGCACTATCTGTTTCCACAGATGTAGTCAATTTGATTTCTGTGTATTCCATCTGGTGAGGTCCATGTGTGTAGTCATCTTTTATGCTGTTTAAAAAAGGTATCTACACTGAAGAAGTCATAGGTCTTGCAAAATTCTATCATGTGATCTCCAGCATAATTTCTATCACCAAGGCCATATATTCCATCTTTCTTCTTTGTTTCCAATCTTCCCATTCTAATCACCAGTAATTATGAATAGATCTTGATTGCATGTTTGATCAATTTCAGACTGAAGAAGTTGGTAGAATTATTCCATTTTTTTCATCTTTGGCTTTAGTGTGTGGTGCATAAACAACAAATACCTATCTATCTATATGTATTTTATGGCATTTTTGACAACTTCCAATTTTCCTAGATTCATATTTTGTCAATTCTGCATCCCAATTATTAATGAATGTTTGCTGCTGTTTCTTCTAATTTTGACTCATGCCACACCATCAAATGAAGGTCTCAAAGGCTTTGCTCCATCCATATCATTAAGGTCCTCAACTCTAATTTGAAGAGGCAGGTCTTCTTCCCCAGTCATATTTTTTTCTTACCTTCCAACCTGAGAGGTTCGTCATCTGGCACTATGTCAGATCATGTTCTGCTTCTATTTATTATAAGATTTTCAGTAGCTAATTTTTCAGAAGTGGTCTTCTTCCTAGTCTGTCTCAGTCTGGAAGCTCCACTGAAACCTGGTGTATCTGAAATACCAGTAACAGATTTCATCATCACAGCAACATGCAAAGTGCCACAGCACAACAAACTGACAGACTATTGATGACTCATCTGAAGAGTACATTCAATATTTAGTGAATTTATGGAGTTATGCAACCATCACCATAATCCAGTTTTTAGAATATTTCCATCACCCTGGTAATATCCCATAAGAAGCCCTCATGGCACAGTGGTTAAAGCGCTGGTTGCTAACTCAAATGGTCAGCAGCTGGAACCCAGGAGTTCACCATGGGAGAAAGATGTGGCAGTTTGCTTCCTTAAATATTCACAACCTTGAAAACCCGATGGGGCAGTTCTATCCGTCGTATAGGGTTGTTGTGAGTCTGAAGCCATTGGACTGGCTGTAGATTTGGGGGTTTTAGTTTGATAATATCCCTCATCTAGGAGCTCTGGTAGCGTAGTGGTTTCGAATCGGGCTGCGAACCACAAGATCCGCAGTTCGAAACTACCAGCTGCTCCGCGGGAGAAAGATGAGGCGATCTGCTCCCGTAAAGATTTACAGCCTCGGAAACCCTGTTCAGGGCCGCTATGGGTCGAAACCGACTCGACGGCACTTAACAACAACAACATCCCTCACCTGGTTGGCTTTTAAAGGTGGTTCCATCAAAAGTTTACCTACAAGTGCAATGTTTGAATGATAGGCCAGAAGGGCTTGGGATTTTGAATATAAAGAACCCAGGCAACATGACACTAATGGATTATTTTCTGTCCCTCTGGTTAAAAATGAAGTCTCGGTTAACCGTTAAGCCAACCATAATATCTACAAAGACAAAGCTGACCCACATCTCCATTTCCATCCAAACAGCTCTCCATTTTCCTCTCCTGCTACTCTCAGAGCGAATTCTGCCCTACTGAGCAAAGACATTTTTTCTTAAAAAGAGCCTTCTAGCTCAAGGCCCCTCCCAAACCCTGCAATCTCCTCCTCTGCCTCCAGCAACTTCAGTCCTAGTCCAGGCCCCACACGCCCACGCTCCTCATCAATAAACACTAATCACATTACTGTGCAGCCTTTCTTGGCAGTTTCCAACTCCGCCACTCCCACTCGCACCGGAGCGTCTCTTCCTCGCTTCCATCCTGTCAGTCTGGTCTGCTCTTCATCCTGACGTCTCCAGCACTTTTCGTCACCACTCCCCACGTACTAGCACCGAGGACCTCGAAAGCGCAACCGCTAAAACAAGAGTTGCTGCAAGGAGAAAAGGGGTGTGTGTAGGTGTGTGTAAATGTATGTGCTCGTGTGTGGAAGAAACCAATGGAGTCCATGTCGGTGTTCACCTTTTGGATATGCCAATCACTGCCCGCTAACAAAGAGAAGATCAGCTCCTCAGTACACTTAGGCACTTGGTCCTCAGCTATACCGAGTTCAGAGACAGCAGGGTTTCCCCCTCAAACCACAGATCTGCAGGCGCCCTGCCCCCGAATGACACACCACTCCCAGCCCCGAAGCAGTGGTAGGTCCCGACGCTACGTCACCCATTGTTTACAAATCAACCCAAGCCGGTAGGATTCCGGCTCTCGCGGCTGCTGGCGCGCGGTAAGCGCCTGGCGGGCTCAGGCTTCCGCGTCGGCCCTGGCCCTGGCCCCGGCCCTGGCTTCGGCCTCTGGATCGCGCCCCGCTCTTCCGCGGTCCACCGATCCCGGAGGGGAGCCGAGCCGCCAGCAACGCCAACAGAGCTCGGGGTGCCGGTACAGGGGGCCATGCCGTGCGGAAGGGAGGAGGAGGAAGAAGCCAGCGAGGAAGCAGAGGGGGAGGAAGAAGAGGAGGAGGATAGCTTTCTCCTGTTGGAGCAGTCGGTGACGCTGGGCGAATCGGGCGAGGTGGACCGTCTGGTGACCCAGATCGGCGAGGCGCTGCAGCTGGACACAGCGCAGGACAGCTCGGCCTCCCAGTGTGCGCACCCGGGGCCGTCCCTACAGCGCCCACAACCCCTGGCGGCAGTACCTGCGGACAAGGCCCGGGTCCCGGCCCTGCCTCTGTTTTTGTCGCCAGCGCCAGCGTCTACGGAGACCACGGGTCCAGGAGCCCTGCGCTGCACCCTCGGGGACCGCGGCCGCGTGCGGGGCCGGGCTGCGCCCTATTGCGTGGCGGAGCTCACAGCCGGCCCCAACGCACTGCCCCTCCTGCCCCCTCAACCCGGCTTTGATGGACCTAGCGAATCCGGCAAGTCGGGCGCCACGCGGCCGATGTCCGGCCCGTGCCGGCGAGGATGGCTTCGGGATGCCGCCGCCTCCCGCCGCCTGCAACAGCGACGCGGGCCCCAGTTTGAAGCCCGCCCCAGCGACGACGATCCGCACCGGCTCCTGCAACAGCTCGTGCTCTCCGGGAATCTCATCAAGGAGGCGGTGCGGAGGCTTCACTCGCGACGACTGCAGTTACACGTAAAGCTTCCCCAAAGCTCTCTCCTGGGGCCTGTGTCGGCAGCCCAAGCGCACGAATACCCTTCGCCTCGCAGCCCTCGCACAGCCAGTAGTGACCCTGGCGCGTCCAGAAGGAGCTTACAGCTCAGAACTGCCGACGGTGTTCTGGTTCCCGGCAGCTAACATGTCCCGGGTGCCCACAGCGTTTGCCCCTAGGAATCAGGGGGAACCTGGGGGGGGTGGGGCTGAACCCTGGCTTGTTGCAGGCGCAGAACTGGCGAGTTTGAAAGCGGGGGAAATAAGCTAATGACGGCAAATAACAAAAATCGCGAATGTTTCCGCAGGACTGGGAGCGAGCATCCCTCTCTGTTTGAAATACTTACAGCAAACTACAGTCCGCACCCCAAGCTCACTGTCCCAATAAGACCTTTATTTGTTGTGACCCGTTCTGGCAGTTCAGCAACCTGGTTGTCACGTGACCACCGTCCACACTTGTCAGGATCGCAGAGCTCGGGAAGGATATTTTTCAAGACCGCGACCTCTTCACGAGTCTATCGCCTCCCTGGACTCAGGCTGGAAGACGATCCTAGTTACTTAGCTCTTCAGGGCTGGTTCCTGATCCATTTTGGGGAGGGGAACATGAGTAGACATTGATAATTTCAGGGAACGCCCCCAATTGCCAGACTTGAAGTTTTACATTTAAAAAAAAAAAAGTCTTTTGAGGTGCTCATTTTTAATGTAAAACGTACGTATCATTAAAGGAACCATGGGGGGTTGAATAGTAGCTTTTTACTGGGCCCCTTCTTTGCACCGGCTGCTGTTTTCAAAGCCGTCGGGAAAGGCTGTACTAGACTAGGGTGGGATAGAATAGAGCAGGGACAGGAGGTGTTGAGTGGTGAAAAGGTGAGGTTAAGTGCGGAGAGACCCTCCGGTCTTCTAATAAGCCCCTCCGCCCCGCTCCTCCTTTGCTTCAAGGTCAGTTTCCAGGTGCTCAAAGGGTTGCGGGGCTTTAGCAGGGCGGAAGAGTCTCCGGGTTCTGCCTGTTCTCAGAGCGTGATGTTTTGCAATTGCTGAAGTCTCCTGAGGACACGCGCTCTGCTGCCACAGCGGGTGTGGGGAGGTGGGGCCTTGTAGGGCTCCAGTGCTTCCCGCGGGCGGCCACCGCCCCTGGCCACACTCTGAACTGTCTTGAACACTCTCCTGATATGTGGCTTCGGGTTCCTCCTCTGCCTCTCGGCTCTGCTGCCCTACTCAAGCCGGTGGCACAGACGTTCCTAGGGGCCCAGGCTGGGGACTGGGGAGACCTACATAACATGCACTTCTCCTGAGGCACACAGCCTCACACAGCATCTTATAATGGGCTCTCGGGGGCCATTTGCAATAACAGCTGCAATTCCCTGGTTCTACGGAGTTGATTTCCTCTCTCTCCCCATCCCCCAGCCATACTGGCTCGCCTTTGTAAGTGAAGGAAACCGAGTAGAAACTGGGGCCCTCCAAGTGGAGAAACCGCAGGCTTTGCCTTTGTGAAGCTTGGTGAGTGCTTGGAGCCTGATCCTCCTCCACTCACTCTGAGGATGCTAAAAAGACTTTGTTCTTGTTTTAGTTTTATGAAATCCAATGGTTTGTCCATCATCCAGATGTGACATCTACACTTTGCACAGGAGTGTCTGGAATTGTGGCTATCCTGATTGTAGGATTTTATCTTAAATGCGTTTTGAATAAATGTCTTGGGGTTTTTTTTGGCTTTTTCCTTGCCTTCAGTGGGAAAGATGGACAGAACACATTTATTTATTTGATTTCCATAAACTTGAAGACACCTGAATCCTTGTCAGCCTGGGTTTGCATATAGTAATTAGCATACCGTAGTGTCTGAGGATCTCCCTAGTTAGCTGGGTATGTATGGGCTGTTGTTGTGAAGTACTGTTGAGTCAGTTCTGACCCATTTGTTGTTGTTGTTAAGTGCCGTCGAGTCGGATCCGACCCATAGCGACCCTGTACAGGGTTTCCGAGGGTGTAAATCTTTACGGGAGTAGAAAGCCTCATCTTTCTCCCGCGGAGCAGCTGGTAGTTTCGAACCGCTGACCTTAAGGTTCGCAGCCCGATTCGTAACCACTACGCTACCAGTTCTGACCCATAGCAACCTTAAATAGGGTTTCCGAGGAGCAGCTGGTGAGCTTGAACCTCCGACCTTGCAGTTCAAACGGCTTTGCAGTCTGGAGCATTAACCCACAGCGCCACACCAGGGCTCTGGGTGTTTATGGGTACTTGGATGAAAGTAAATGAAAGTGAGGTCAATTTTTGGACCAATCCCAAACCTCAGAACCATTTGGATTACTAGTTAGTAGTGGAGATGTTTTATGAAGTGCTGGTAGCGTAGTGGTTAGGAATCGGGCTGTTAGAAACTACCAGCTGTTCCACGGGAGAAAGATAAGGCTCTCTGCTCCTGTAAAGATTTAGAGCTTCAGAAACCCTGTACAGGGTTGCTATGAGTCAGAACCGACTCCACGGCACTTAACAACAACAATATTAACTATATTGGACTCCTGGTGTGGTACTGTGGGGTAATGCACTAGACCAAAAGGTCGGTTTGAACCGCAAGGTCACTGGTTCAAACTCACCTGCTGCTCCTTGGAAACCCTCTACAGGGTTGCTAAGAGTCAGAACTGACTCCACAGCACTTAACAACATCTGATTATGTTAGCAAAGAGCATGTTAATAGTCATCACAGACTGGGTAATGTATAACTGTTTCTTTCTACTATTGTCATTCAGGGTGCTGTGTATGTTAAATGCTCAACTACTCATCAAAACGTGGTTGGAACCCACAAGGCCCCTGCAAAGAAAGGCCTGGCGATGTGCTTCCAAAAGGTCACAGCCTTGAAAACACTATGGAGTCCAGTTCTATTATATGACAGACATGGGGTCTTTGTGTGTTAGAATCAACTTCATGACAACTGGTTTTGGTTTGGTGTGGTGTGTGATGGTCATTAAGAAAAGTGTAGTGTTGGTTAGCAGAGGATTGCTCAGGAGATGAGAAAACTACCTGGGAGTAGATTTTCAGAACTCCCCTCCCTTTGCGCTTAGCATGTGGCTACAATTCTCTCCCTGAGCTGTGACTTGTCTATCCCCTCAGTTTTGAGTTATTTCAGTTTGTTCCTTCAAAGAAGAGGAATAGCAAATCACCAAGAGCTGAGTTGGGCTGGGCAGCAGAAAGGCGCCTAAGGCCATTTACTAATTGAGGAACCTTGGACAAGTTGCTCAACCTCTGTGGGCTTCAGTTTCCTTGTGCCTATAACAGGGATGATGAGATAAAGGGTACAGGGTGGTTGGCACGTACTGGAGATGATCAATGTCTAGTCCCTACCCCACCCCCTTATTTTCCAGGCCTTCCTTCCCAGGCCTGCCCCTACAGAACCAAACACCCAGGTCTTCCATTTCATCTAAGATGAAGGTGTGTCACAATCCCCAAAAGGTCTTCTAGGTTAAACGTTCTGTAACAGAAAAGTCCTGATTTTCTAACATCCCTTTGACTCAATGTCTGTGGCCTGTACCTCCCCATTTGCTCTCAAATACACCACAGACCCCAATGACCTCTGAAGAATACCAAGTCAGCCCTTTCCTACACCTGCCCAGAAAGGCTTAGGGGACTTGACTCAGTGATGCCCAGCAAAGGAAGGGCAGTGATGGAGGCTTTAACACCAACAGAGGAAGATGGGTCTCCAACTGTAAGTGGGCTACAACCTTTGGGTGCTAGGCATGAGGGGAAAGTGGTCAGGTGCTGACCTCCCCTGACATTGAAGTAGCTCTGGGGTTTTCAGCCCTGCTTCCAAGAATCAGATTGTTATCCATCCCCCAAATGGCCATGATTTGATGCCACTGCACCAGCTGTCTAGCTTTTTGTTGTAATAAGAATCGTTAGTTAAGGCTAAAGTCAAACTTGTATTCATCAAGTTGCCAAAGATTCCTTTCCAACTCATCACGACCCCAAATGCGTCCATAGAACTGTGTGTCATAGGTTTTCAATGACTGGTTTGGGGGGGAATAGATGGCCAGGCCTTTCTTCCAAGGTACTTAAGGGTAGACATGAAGCTCCAACCTTTCAGTTAGCAGCCAAGCACGTTAACCATTTGTACCACACAGGAACTAGGAACTCTTCCTCCTCAAGAAAGGAAGACTGGCACTTTAAATGCACTACGCTATTGTTGTTAAGTGCCAGCAAGTCAGTTCTGACTCATAGTGACCCTATGTAAGGTTTCCAAGGAGCAGCTGGTGGCTTTGAACTGCCAACCTTGTAGTTAGTATTGTTGTTGAGTGCCATTGAGTCTGTTATGACTCAGCAACCCTGTATAGGCTTTCCAAGGAGTGACTGGTGGGTTTGAACCACCGACCTTGCAGTTCAAACTCATCTTGCAGTCCAGTGCCTATCCTACAGCGCCACACCAGGACTCCAAACAGAACCAACTCTGGGCTCATCAGGGATTTGAACCTGCACCTGAAGTGAGAATCATACTCCTAGATATTTTATAACACTACAATATTCATCTTTTAAAAAATCCTGTAAGGTCTTTTACTATTCACCCAAAATCGTTTTCTGGAATCAGCTTGGGTTTATGTAAATACTTTTTTTAAAGCTATGATCCCAGCTAATTGGTGGGAAATGTTGTTGTTGTTAAGTACCATGGAGTAGGTTCCAACTCATAGTAACCCTGCACAGGGTTTCCGAGGTTGTAAATCTTTACAGGAGCAGAGCGCCTCATCTTTCTCCAGCGGAACTGCTGGTAGTTTTGAACTGCCGACCTTGAGGTTAGCAGCCTGATTTATAACCACTACGCTACCCTACCAGAGCTCCTTAGGTTGAAAATAGGGCAGACCAAATTACTGAAGTCAGGGGCCTAGCAAATCTAAAACTGAGGCCTCTAGCCTCCCAGCTGAGACCTGCTTTCCACAACCCAGCTGGCTTCTCTAAATATAGAGGGTCCATAGACAAGGTCCACTACTGTCCACTGCAAAAGTTCATACAGAGTGAAAACCACTCCTTGGGTTGTAAAAGATGACGGACAGCCCTGTCGTTGTTGTTAAGTGCCCTCAAGTTGGATTCAACTCACAGCGACCCTGTATAGGGTTTCCCAGGAGTGGCTGGTGGGCTTGAACTACCAACTTTGCAGTTAAAATTTCAGGGCTTAT